AAAAATGTACGTGCCGTACGCTCATTTCCACGCCCACAGCACGTACTGAAGCTGGAAATTATGTTTCGGTTACATGTGTTGGGATTGTGACACTGTATTAATACTACCGTGCGCACGGACGTTAAGACGTATGTGTACACATTCGTAAGTCCTTAAAATGCTCAAAATTACTCTTTTCCTTTAAAATTTCTTTTAAAATGCTCAAAATTACTCTTTAAATAGAGCATGTTTTAGCATATAATACTTTTCAATCAGAACCGCGCGTGCTTCGTGAGGGTCAAAGTACGGCGGATCACCGAACTCGTCCTCAGTGACGAGTTCAAATCTAGTTTTTCTTATTCTTCTTTCTTTCTCCACTTTTCTGTTCGCACGATATCTCAAAAAATGCCACGAGTTACGCAAAATCGCTTTCAGCGAATATTTGGCTTGGTCTGGAATAGTCATGGTAAGCTTTTCAACGCGCTTTGTCATGCGTGACGTCATCTACGCGCAATTTTGCGTTTTTACATTATCGATCATATCAGCCCTACCAATTGCCATTTCGAAATCGTATTAAGTGAGCATTAACTTCGGGTTAATGTTGAATGTACAGTACCCTAATTTTACGCGTGCGCTTATTAACGCGCGCGCACGCGTGCGTCAAAATTTCAAAATGCTCAAAATCACTTTTTGACTAAAGTAGGGTACGTCTTAGGACATTTTGATCATTTCAAATTTTTTTGAAATTTTCCACTACGCGCGCGCATTTTTACGTGCGCAGCACGTACGAAAGCTAGAAATTTTGTTATTTTACATATTTTGGGTTCCTGACATCGTTTTTACAAATTTGCATTCTTTTCAGTCATCTTTTGGCCAATAGCAATACCGTACGTGCGCATCAAACATAGGTATCTTTGCGCGTATTTGTGCCGCTATACAGTGAAATTATGCTAAAATCAGACCTATTTTTAATCAGTTATAACTCCTTAGGTTGAAAGGTGACCCCCAATTTTTATTACATATTCTGAAAGCACATAAGTTGTAAATATGATTTTATAGATCATAATGGCTGATCGGACATTGTGACGTCATCATATTGGCATCTGAATTCAAAGAAAGTGATTTATAGCTATGACGTCATTTTTGAAAATACACATTTCAGCGTATCTCGCTTATCCTTGATCGATCGTCTTCCAACTTTGAGTATGTTATAGCTGAGACAATTCTCTTTCAAATATTTGACTTCTTTTTCAATTTTGATGACGTCATCATGGTCAAAAAAATTGTTTTTTCTGACCCCCTCATTTCTCTTTCTTCAAAACGTTGATGAGCCCATATAATCTTAACCATTCAACATTACTAAATCATATTAGGTGAGCATAAGCTTCAGGTCAAGGTTGAATGTTAGGTACCTTAATTTTCCGTTCGCGGTTTTTATCGTGCACGTACGCGTGCGTCAACATTTATATATGCATAAAACCATAAATATTTTTAATCAGTTATAGCTCCTTAGGATGAAAGGTGACCCCCAATTTTTATTACATAATCTGAAAGCACATGAGTTGTAGATACGATTTTTTACTTCATAATGGCTGATCGGACATTGTGACGTCATCATATTGCCATTTTAATTAGGAAAAAATTGAATTTTAATATATGACGTTATTACCTTTTATACTCGTTTGAACGTACTCGCTTATCTTGATTGATTGTCTCCCACCTGTGAGTATGTTATAGTTAAATCAATTCCCTTTCGGATGTGCCCCCTTTATTTTTTATTTTGATGACGTCATCATGGTAAAAAAGAATGCTTTTTTTGGAGCCTTCTCATCTTTCTTTCTTAAAAGATGTAAACACATTGAAAATAGAGGGCGGCAGACTGTATTTCGACACTATCAGACCGATAGTTCGTATACTGTAAAGGCAAAATTCGTGTTTAAATTTATGTGCCATTACCGTCGTCTGGTACGTCGTATAAGGTATTCGTACTGAATTCGTAAGTCCTTAAAATGCTGAAAATTACTCTTTTCCTGTAAAATTTCTTTTAAAATGCTCAAAATTAATTTTTAAATAGAACATGTTTTATAATATAATACTTTTCAATCAGAAACGCGCGTGCTTCGTAAGGGTTTAAGTACGGCGGATCACCAAACTCGTCCTCAGTGACGAGTTCAAATCTAGTTTGTTATATTTTTATTATTTATTATTTTCACTTGACTCGCATAAATAATTTTGTTCAAAGAACATTTATATGCAGTTGTACTTCGCAGCACTTCATTTGCAATTTCTAGTATAACAGTATGACAATGCATTTTGTATGTGTCATATTTTGGAAGTCTCATTTTATTAGTTAGGTCATTTCTGGCAATTCTGTGACCGTGGAGAGGCTAACTTAGTTTTATAGTGGATTTGTCTTCTGTGAGGGTATTATAATAAAAATAGCTTGGGTGTCCCTTGCGAAAGTGTGGGCATAACCTGTGAGAGCCCTAAATCCAAAATGGCCGCCTTCTGCCATTTTGAAATTTATTATTTCAGTGTTTTGGCCTACATGGCTGCTTAAGTGCAAAACTTGAGGGTTTTCGGTGTCCAGGAATCCATATTTGATGTCGGATCGATGATTCGATTTAGTTTTGACCTTCAAATTCAAGATGGCCGCCAATTTTTTTGTCAACAACCGCTTTTTTTGTAAATTCGTCATAGTGCCTTATAAAAGGACTTAATGATTATGCTGGATTGACTGATGGACAATAAAACTACAATTAATTATCCAGAGGTCATCTCAGAGGTAATCTCCGAGGTCAAAGTTCAACATTTGAGGTTAATAAAAAATGAAGCTTAGTTCGCTTATAAAATTCCCGTGTATTGTACTGTTAATATCCAGAAATTCATATTTGATTTCCAAATTATTTAGGTTTGGCTTTCAAATCTTAAAATGGTGCTAAGGTCACCTTGGAGGTCAGAGGTCAATGTGTGTGGTTAAAGGTCAATTATAGTTCCATTTTCAAGGGTCAAGGGTCATATGCTAAGCATCAATTATGCATATTTATTAGCTAAAACCGGAAACACTGGACAGCGCCTTCCATTTCCTGTTTTGTAAAACGTGGCATAACTATAGTAAATTCATTTTTTTCGATAAAATTTTTAATTCAAAGTGAATAACTATTGTGTTGATCCAAAATGGCCAATTTAATTTGAAAATTTTTATTTTTTTTTCGATTTCGACTAAGGGACAATACAACTTTAAACTAATGGCCAGTTATAATCTGTTGAGATCAGCTTTGGGCTGACATGATTGTGCACTTCCATTAGTTCAAAGTCAGCCCCAGGGACTGTATGAAGTAGTAGGCCTTGTTTTGTTAAAATGAGGGGATGGGCGAGAGTTTAAAAACAAAGCACAGCTTCTCTCCCTACCGGTTAAAACTATCCAAGCAAAAATCCACTCACATACTATGATACCCTAGATAGGCCCACATTTACCTGGGCCCAGAGAGCAAATTTTATGAACACTTTTAGATTCCAGAAATTGGGAACTTTCAGATTGTAAAAATATGTTTCGCAAAGCAGTGTTTTCAACAGAATGACATTCCCCCGAGCCTGTTCTCAAACCCGCCGATGGTGCCGCCAATGGTTAGACATCGCATCGCAATGGGCTACTTGTTTACATGCCAGAGTAGGTGGTCATGTTTCTGAAAATCAGCCGAAAAAATAATTTATTTTAAAGAAATGTTACACAGGCCAGATCAAACCCACAGTTGGCCTAGGGGTGGAGGTTGAATACCAGGATGATAGATTATACAGACCCCCATGTTATTCAGGATTACTCAATTGTCAATATTCCTACAATAAGATTATAGATAAAAGATGATTTTCCAAGAAAGTATAGCATTAAACAGTGTCGGATCTTGGAATTGAAAATAGAAACCACCTCAGCCCTACCATGGATGGGGCTAAGTTACAGAATTTATTGGTGGTCGGAAATAGCAATGTCAGACTTGAAATTTGAAGACAATTTTCTTTTATCCCACATATTTTTAATTTTGTAAAATTTAGGGTGATTGATGGTTGATATTCCACCAATAAGATTATTTGATAGAACAAGAAAAGTAATGGAACCATGAAAAATTTATCGCGAATCCCCAATTTTTCGCAGACCCCTATGGACCCTTTTGACTTGGCAGACTCCCAATTGTTTTTCAGGGAACCCCGGCTTGGGAACCACTGCTATACGGTGTAGTCGTAAATTTTATCCCCCAGACACTCTTTTATACAACTGAATTATTGTTAAGCTAGATAAGCTTATTGGTTGCAGCTGGGAAATCATAGTAAATTATCATATTAGGATTGCTACGTAGCACCATAAAGAAAATATAAACAGATAAATAATAACAGTGCTCAGATAGGAACATTATTATATATACGATTCCATTTTATGTTCCCGTCAGAGCACATTGTTATTATTCATATATTTTTCATATTTATGTAGGAGCGGTTGGTTTGTAGGAGCGGTTGGTGCACCGGTTGTGGCTTGGACTCCCAACCTTGAGGTCGGGGGTTCGAAACTCTGGCTGTGCAAATCGCTTGTGTCCTTGGGCAAGGCACTTTATCTACGGTTGCCTCTCTCCACCCAGGAGTACAAGTGGGTACCTGGTAGGTTCCAACACAACCTGCGTTGATTACTGCAATTTATGGAATGATAATATAATTTCATTTACTAATTTAATTTTAATTTTTTTTTTTTAAATTTTTTTTAAATTTTAATTTCCATATGTGTTTGATCCAATGACCGGGGTAGTAATGTGAAGCGCTTAGAGGCCTTGTAAAGGCATGAAGCGCTATATAAGAACGACATATTATTATTTATATTGTGTTTATGGTGCTATGCAGCAATCTTACTTTAAAAATGATTTACTATACGCAACACTCATATTTTGAATATTATTTGATATATACTTACTGGGCCATAAGTTTGATAGGAATTAAATATCCAATAAACAACTAATTCTTCATTATCCTATTTTTAGGTTATCCGATGCGATTAACTTTCTTTGTGTCACCTTATGATTTGCTGAATGTTGAGAAAAAGACTTCCACCATTCTTAATATGTCAGGTAAGAAGTGTATAACATGTCAGCAAAAATAAGAGGGTGTGTGAGATGTCAGCTAGTCTAGAGGAGTATATTAGATGTATGTTATGTGAGGGAACACTGGGGAGGATGTGAGGGAACACTGGGGAGGATGTGTGTTATGTGAGAAACACTCAAGAGGGATGTATGTGTGAGCAACTCAGTTGAGGGATGCATGCAGTGGCCGCTCTAGGATATATTTTCTGGGGGGTGGAGGCTGAACTGTTCTACAGGGGGACTTGGGCTCGTAGGCCAGAGCTGTGGGAAGGGTTTCATTTCTCCCAAATGAGATTTTTTAAAGAATAGGAACCTCTGGATGTCCAGAAATTACACTCTGATTGTGACAGACATGTGTTGGCTTGGCGTGGGCCTATTTTAATATTTTTTAGTCCAACTACCTGACAAGTTCTGTCCGATGGGGACTTGACCTGTTTGATTGGGTGGTAAGCTACCTTACTTTTGAAAATGTAAATAAATATTCCCCCATATAAGAGCCCTTTTCTGTTTTGAAGAATGGAAAATTTCACCAGAATCCCAAAAATATTCTAGCTTCCTTACAAATATACAGTTGTTTTTCATTATTTTTGTGCACTAAAATTCCAGACTACTACATATTTTTCGTGTAGTGTTCAACTGTGTAAGCCCTATGTTGAGCAATAATCATCAGGTATCGCTTTTATCACTGCAATCTGAAAGTCTTCGTATTCATCGTATGAAAAATTCTTGGACTTCTATGGGCATTTATTGTACCATCAACTATTTTTATTGACAAAGTCTGCTTATTTTCATTCTTTAACGATTAAGTTTGTTAAGTATCTGAAGCTCAGGATTCTGCTAACAAGGTGGCATCAATGATATGTCAGTGGTCTTGTCAGAGCTGGAATACTTTCTATTGAACATGTGACTTGCTTGATATACACTTTTCCTCTTAACTCCAAGCAGCAGTGAGACATACTCTTGTTCTTCAGACAACTTTTGTGACAGAACATCTAAAACTCAGAAGTTGCTGAAAGTTTCAACAAACGTATGCCCATATTCTTAAAACAAACTTTAGTCGAACTTCGAACTAGAACTTCATTTAGTGCTAGTTGCATCTTTAACTTCAATTTGTATTCACAAACAATGTAGTCGAAGTTTTAACTACGACTAAATCAAGTCCTAGTTTTAGTTTAACTGAAGACGACTGGCAAGCAGCAACTATCAAACTAACCAATGAAAAGGGATAACTTTAATAGCAGACAAAATTTTAGAGATCCGGTAACGCGGATGAATATTAGGCTGCCGTCTGTGGTTCAAAAACGTATTTCCTCATAATTCATAATAGACCATCATTCCATTAATTAATTTTCTAAAATAATTACTATATTAGTTGTTAACATATTACAATAGAGAATTTGAACAGACACTGAAAATTTGCTTTCTTTGGAGAACTATTATAGTTGAGCCCAAGCGAGGGTGGCTCCATCTTTGTTGTTGTTATTGTGAAGCTATGTGATCACAACGCGAGGGGATTTCGTGCAAATCAGCAACTATCGCATGTGGCTAGCAAAACATGTTAATTTCTCCTTCTGGAAGCTAAACTTGATGTCTCTTTTGTTTAACACACCGAAAATATATCAAACCTGCGTATACAATCCTTTTTATTCGTTTCATTTTATCGTGAGTTACAAAAAACACGTTTTTAGTGGGGCAAATATTTCAAGTCGGCGATTTAGCCTGACCCTAGGCTGACTAAAAAATCGGCCTGCGGAGGTATCATTTTAGTCGAGGTTCACGTCATTTAGTCGTAGTGCTAGTCGAAGTTCTTTTTAAGAATACAAAATGACGTAATTTTTAAGTTAGCTCGAACTACGACTAAAGTTTGTTTTAAGAATACCGGGGTTAGTTTATGATTACAGAAGCTACGTTTTCCTTTACGAAAGAAAGCCGGGATGTAATCGTCTTTAATTTCAATGTCTCAAAAAAAGGGTACAGATGAATGCTATGCTTTGGTTGATATTCGTTAAAGCATGCTTTGCATGCAGGAAGACTTTCGTGTCGGCAGCTTCTTGGTGGTTCTAGGCCAGATTGTAGAACCCCAGATTGCCGAGTTCACTTTGCCAAAACACAGTTTGCCGAATGCCAGTTTGCTGAATCAAAAACTAGAAATCCCAGTCTGTTGAAACCCAGTTTGCGCTGAAACTCGCTTTATCGAAAAAAAAATAAATAAAATATAGCGGCTTATTGTAGTTAAATGATTCTTTTTGTTTTAATTTGTAAATCAATTGGCTATCAGCAAATAAAAATCAATTTAACACTTTGACTGCCAGGCCATTTTAGTGATAGCAATGCTCTCTGCCAGACATTTTAGCCTATATGACCAAGTTTCCATTTCACATATAGAACACATGTACAGTATATACAAATATGGAATGTTCTTTGTTCTTTACACCAAAATAAAGAGTAATTCATGAGCTTTCAAATGATATCATAAATTTTATTCATACAATGAACTATTGCAACACAAATTTGAATAGTAAACACATAACTGTTTGCAATAAAGCGGAGAAAACAGCATTTTTAGTTTCACAACTCCTAAACACTAAAAACCAACAACTAAACACAATAATCAAACTTTTTTCCCTTGATTGTATTAGTTATTTATACATACATGAATCTAACATAATATAATTATAAATCCCACACACGGATGAGGTCCACTGAGCCCCTGGCTACCCCCCACTCTCCAAACTAAAAGTGTAAATATTGCCTATTTTCATTGCTTTGTTAGATATATACATATTGATAAAAATGAAATATAAAAACACTGGTGTAATTGCACACGACCTTGTACACATACCCACCACTGATCCCTGGGGTAGGGTTGGTGCCCCCCACAACAACTGAAAAGTGTGAATATTGCATATTTTCATTGCTAGGCCTACATAGACGCGTCATTCACGCTACTATTTAGGTCTAGGCCTGCCAACTTCACTAATGCAGTCTGTACTTTTATATATTTCTGTAAATCTGTACTTAATATATTACATAAAATATTGCATTACTTTAGACATATGCAAGGCCTGGGCTAAGAATGGGCTAAATTAACAAAGAAAGCTAGGCCTAGGCCTAGCTAACATAACGCATCGGCCACCACGCCTGACTGTTGTGCACACTTTATTGTTGATGGACAGCCTCAACAAATATCAATCAAAACTCTTGTTTTATCTCGTTTTTTGGTAAATGTACAAGAAAATAAAAACACAATAAGACATGTACATACATCGTTGCATACTAAAAAATCATTTTTGGAGTCCGAATCCACGAAGATTTCTGAAATGACCTCCTCTTCTGAAAACAGGCGAGTGCGATTCACTTTCTTGTCGCATTATTCATATACAGGAGAAGCGTAAGCAAACACGTCATGCTAAGCATGCTGGGGGGTGGGGTTTCAAAAGTGAAAAAATGTACGGCCCAAAACGAATTTATTTCAGAAATTTCTACCACAGGTCCACAACTTCCATATCCTTCAGATTGTATAATAATACTCAAAAGATGGATATTTCCGTCTTTGGTCAAAGTGTTAATAGGCCTCACAGATAAAACATTTTATTAGAATACATACGATAAATACATAAATTTTAACTAAGATAATAATAAAGGAAATAAACAAATTAATAATAATCTACAATTATACACACATGCCAATTGTGGCTCCAGAAATTTGTAGACAGGGGGTCTGACTCAAGGGGCAGACTCTCGGTTGTCAGGGACCTGGCACAACAATCCTGATAGGGTTTGCAGGGGGAGTATTTTAGAAGGATACGATGCTTATCCTGCATTCATTTCATTTTATCTCTAATTTTAACTTATGCTTTCAAGTGTGTTTTTCTACAGCTTTGTTGTCTTCCAATATTTTGCCTTTTAATTTGTACACAAATGATGCTCCTTCCTGAACCACCCATCATTATTCAAATGCATAGTATGCTGTACTTTTGTAACACAAAGATTTGGACTGAGTTTTGGAAAACTGAGTTTTGGCAAACTGGGATTTCATGATTTCAGTGAACAGTCATCATTAGGTATATATACAACTATAATAGGCCTATATACTGCAAAGATAGGTCAAAGGTCAATAAAACAGTTTCTGGTTGATATTGAGAAATTATTCTGTTAGAGTATAAATGTGCATTTGTAAATATTTTGTTACAAAAAGCAACTTTGTACGACAAGTGCTTACCAAGATATAAGTACCCTACATTTTCAGAACTAATTTGCATATTTTAACTAATTTGCATATAAAGATGTGCGTAAAAAAATTGGCGACTCATTTTATTGGATTCAGCATACTTCAAAGTATATATTCCATCCAAAAAACTAAAATGATCACAAAAATCCCACGGGAGCCCATTTTTCGACATATGCCCCCGGACTATTAGTTCCAGATCCTCGTAGCAGCCAATAAAAAGACATCCTGCATGCATTACAACCAATGCATAAATGAGGCATGTCGTGGCAAAATGGTTAAGTTGTCGCACAGACCAGTATTGAGTAAAGGAGCTATAAAATATGGTAGCTCAAAAAATTGCCTAAAAATCCAATTTTTTTTTTCACTATAGATCAACAGTTTATTATGTCTTATTAATCATGTCCCAAAGTATTAGTTCTGGAAGTGATCAACAAATTTTTTATTTAATGTTATTTATATAGTTAATTCTATTAAACAATGTATTCACAAATAACTTTGGAAAGCAATTACTCAAAATCATGTTTATCTTGACTCTAAGAGTGCTGTAATTTCACTTTCCAATAATTTAGGCTTGAAATGTCCAATTTCAATGAATGATCCCTCATTTTAAAGATCACATACTCATGTATCTGAATATACTAATAACTTGAATTTCAATTTTTGCTACAACTTAGCCATTTTGCCACAACGTGCCTCAAACACAGTATCAACCGTTTCATTCTGGAGACATCGATATTGTAATCATTGCTACAGTGTATCTTATTTTATGACAATGGAGAGAGGGTCATTCTAGACACAAACATTGGCAAATACAGAAAGTTATTCAAATTAAATGACATTAACTTCAACCCTTATTGGATGTCATGCTTCTGTAATCAAAGGCAAAGTTTTGTTGACACTTTCTGCAACTTTAATGTTTTAGATGTTCTGTCACAAGAGTAGTCTGAGGAACTTGAAGACTGCTGCAGGGGGAAAGGTAAATCAAGCAAGATGTGAAAAGTTTAAAATAGAGGCAACAAGATCACAGACATATAATTGTTACCACCATGTTTGCAGACCCTTGAGTACTTAAGAGCAAATTCATAATAAATTAATTATTGCCGTAATTAATTAATTAATTAATTAATTAATTAATTAGGGTAGTTGTTTAATTTTGTGTGCTCCTGGAATACCTTGTGTAGTGCACAAAAATAATGAAAAACAACCGTATATTTTCATTCATTCATTCATAAAGGTATTTTATTCAAAAATAATTGTAATTGCAGTATTAAAGACTGAATTGTAACAATTTTACAAATTCAAAAAAAGAGACATTATAAAAGGCAAGAGAAAAACTTGGAACAGACATTAAAACCATAAACCTCAGGCACTTAAAATGTTAAAAATATTTTAAAAATCTATACACGACAACAAATACATAAACTGATGAGACATGCAAAATGGTGTATAAAACACAAACTAGCTACATTATTAATTACGATACATTACCTAAAATTAATTAAAAAGGAGATAATATCTTTAAAAAAATTTTTAGGCCTTTCTCTCATTCCAAAGTCTGGTCATATATTGCAATGGGCTATTAAAATATCTTTTGGTTCTATGACTACTGAGAGACAGTTGATTGGCATTTCTAAGTTTCCTACCATGGCACTCAAATCTGGTTTTAGGGATCCAATTTTTAAAATATTTGTAGGAAGCTGGAATATTTTTCGGATTTTGGTGATATATTTCATTATTCAAAACAGAAAAGGGCTAATATAAGGGAGCATTTTACTTACATTTACAAAAGTAAGGTAGCTTACCACCCTAAAATATGTTATTTTGGGTTTAAAAAATCAACAGCAGTTATTACATTAATGTTTTGTAAATTAAACAAATTTATTTAGGTTATTGAAGCTGCGTATTAAGTTCTTTAATTTTGGCAGCCATTTTAAAAAGCGCCCTCAATTGCCTTCCAACATCTTAACATTAATAACTTCAGCTAGTTATACTTTACTCTTATAATAATAATAAATTTAGCCACTGAAAATATCAGTTATTGGCAGCCATTGACTAGGAATTCTAGTTGGCATATTACATCTCATGATATTCTTATATTATATTATATTAAATTATATTGTATTATATTATATTATGTTGTGAATATATCTTAATTTAGGAAAAAATAGCCATTATTTTGAAATATTAAAACAAATTTAACCATTTAAAGAGAATCATGTGGTTGTCCTTTCCTTAGATATATACTTACCATTCCTTTCTTTTTCTTTTCCGTCCAATTAGGCTGAGCTTTTTTTTTCTTCAATATTATCTACCAATTATTTTCTACGAATTCAATCTTTAATTCTTTACTTCTTTTCCTTATTCCCTTTTATTCTTTGTTTCATTTCATTTTCCCTTTCTTTCCTTTCTTTTCTTTCTTTTTCTTTCTTTCTTGTCCCTCTTTCCTTTCCTTTGCTTTCTTTTCATTTCTTTCCTTGTCTTTCTTTTTATTTGTCATCCTTTCGTTTTCTTTCTGTTGTTTCCATACACTGTACTTTTTTTCCTTTCTTACCTTTCATTTCTTTTCTTTCTTCTATTTCTTTTTCTTTTCTTTCCTTTCATTTTCTTTCTCTTTTAGTTTTTTTTTTTTTTTTTTTTTTTTTTTTTTTTAGTTTTTTTTTTTTTTTTCTTTGTTTTTTTTTTCTATCATTCCTATTCTTTCTTTTTATTTGTCATCGACTACTTTTCCTTTCGTTTTTTTCTACTGTTTCCATAGTCTTTCTATTTTTTCCTTCCTTTCCTTTCATTTTTTTTTCTTTTCTTTCTTTTATTCGGTCTTTTCATTTTTCTTTTCTTTTCTTTCGTATTCTTATCTTTTCTTTCGTTTTCTTTCTTTCTTTGTTTCTTTTGTTTCTTTTGTTTCTTTCCTTTACCTTCTTTTCTTTCTTTGACTTTCTTTTCTTTTTCTTTTCATTTCTATGGTGTTAGTACCTTTTCTGTTTCCTTCTTCCTTTCCTTTTTCTTTCTTTTTCTTTCTTTTCCTTTTCTTTTTCTTTTCTTTTTCTTTTCTTTATTCTTTCTACTCTAACTACATATTCAAAAGTTTGTCAAACTTATGTGCTTATTTTACTCATACATGTATTTTTTTATTTTTATTTTATTGGACTTTGGCAGCCATTTTGAAAAAAGCACCCTCAGGCAAAAGTTCTCACATTAAGTAGCGGGGAGGGGGAAGGGGGTTAAGTCCCCCATCGGTCTGGTCAAGCCCCCCCTATCGGCCAAAGCTCGTCAGGCAGCCGGACCAAAAAGTAAAAAAAATAGGCCTAGTTTTCCCATTCCAGCCTTTTCCGGCCATCTATATGTTACACCCC